TATCTGTTGTATCTGTTGCACAAAAAAATAACAGCGAGTAAGTTGACATTATAAGAATATTTTTCAAATAAAGATAAAAATCACGTACGATAATTCAAATCTAATAACTACATCTCAATATCTGTTGCATCTGTTGCACAAAAAACATAACAGCGAGTAAGTTGACATCATAAGAATATATTTCAAATTAAGTTAAATATCACGTACGATAATTCAAATCTAATAACACATCTCAATATCTGTTGTATCTGCTGCACAAAAAACTTAACAGCATGTAAGTTAACATTATAAGAATATTTTTCAAATCAAGTTAAAAATCACGTACGATAATTCAAATCTAATAACTGTTGTATCTGTTGCACAAATAAATAAACTACATAACACTAGTCTGTAAGTTGACATTATAGAAATATATTTCAAATCAAGTTAAAAATCACGTACGATAATTCAAATCTAATACTACATTTCAATATCTGTTGTATCTGTTGCACAAAAAACATAACAGCTCGTAAGTTAACATTATAAGAATATTTTTCAAATTAAGTTAAAAATCACGTATAATAATTCAAATCTAATAACTACATCTCAATATCTGTTGTATCTGTTGCACAAATAAATAACAGCATGTAAGTTGACATTATAAGAATATTTTTCAAATCAAGATAAAAATCACGTACGATAATTCAAATCTAATAACTACATCCAATATCTGTTGTATCTGTTGCACAAAAAACATAACAGCGAGTAAGTTGACATTATAAGAATATATTTCAAATCAAATCAAAAATCACGTACAATAATTCAAATCTAATAACTACATCTTAATATCTGTTGTATCTGTTCCACAAAAAACATAACAGCTTGTAAGTTGACATTATAAGAATATATTTCAAATCAAGCTAAAAATCACGTACGATAATTCAAATCTAATAACTACATCTCAATATCTGTTGTATCTGTTGCACAAAAAAATAATCTACATAACAGCATGTAAGTTGACATTATAAGAATATATTTCAAATCAAGATAAATATCACGTACGATAATTCAAAACTAATAACTACATCTCAATATCTGTTGTATCTGTTGCACAAAAAACATAACAGCAAGTAAGTTGACATTATAAGAATATTTTTCAAATCAAGTTAAAAATCACGTACGATAATTCAAATCTAATAACTATATCTCAATGTCTGTTGCATCTGTTGCACAAAAAACATAACAGCGAGTAAGTGACATTATAAGAATATATTTCAAATCAAGTTAAAAATCGTGATAATTCTAAAGGAAAAACGAACCTAAAATTTATCTGTTATTCACGACAGGCGGTATTTATATTAATTTTAAAGCGTGATTTTTGATACTATTGTTATTAAAAAAAGTTTTTCACAATGTTCAAGATTTGAAGACGAGTTTCGTTATTGGACAAGTGGAAATCCAGATATTGATAATTTTATTCAACAAATACAAATTCATGCAATTTCCTTTCATGGCATCATTGAATGGATTCCTTTTAAGCAATTTACGAATATAAAGTATCTTGCTAAAGGCGGCTTTGGCACGGTCTTTAAGGCAGTATGGACTGACGGATATATCAACGACTTCGATTCTTTTGGTAATGAATGGATGAGAAAGCCACTAATAAAAGTTTGTTTAAAAAGCCTTGATAATTCAAAAGATTTAAAACAAGAATTTTTGAAAGAAGTAAGCATTTATATAATTCGTTATAACAAAGTATAATAGTTATTTATTTTAATAAATATTTTAGGTTGAATATCAACATAAACATGGCGGCTATTCGTCAGTTTCGATTTATGGAATAACCAAGAATCAAGATGATGATAATTATATGATGGTTATGGAGTATGTAAAGCAAGGAAGTCTCCGAAAGTTATTAGATAGTAAATATAATGAATTAAATTGGAATTCTAAAATTGCTAGCTTATATTACATAGCTGATGGACTTAATACAATTCATAATGCCAATTTGGTGCATAAAGATTTTCATTCCGGGAATATAGTTAATCAAAATATATTCGATTCTTTTATTACTGATTTTGGCTTATGTAGGCCAGTATCACGAGACTCAGATTCTGAAGAGCTTTTTGGTGTGCTTCCCTATGTTGCTCCAGAATTGTTAAGAGCGTCAGTGGATAAAGATAAAATAGTATATACTCAGGAGTCAGATATTTATTCTTTTGGAATAATTATGTCAGAAGTTTTTACTGGATACCCCCCATATCATGACATTCCGCATGATCATCGTTTAATGATGAAAATATTGAAAGGTCAGAAACCTGAACTCAGATGCAAAGTTCCTCAATTACTTTTGGATTTGATGAATAAATGCTTAGACGCCGTACCTCAAAATCGTCCAACTGCTGGAGAATTAGCCAATACGCTAAATAATTTTTTTAATGATTTGAAATCTGAATATACTGAATTGTCTAAGCAAGTTAAAAATATTAAAGATTTAGACAAAAATTTCTTAACATATGATCAATTCAAATCGACACAATTCAAATATCAGACACACCCACAAGCTATTTATACAAGTCGATCTTTGAATCTTCCAAAACAGGTAATAATGATTATATTTTTTAAAAAGTTAGTAATATGTCATTAATTATAAAAATTTTGAATCTGTCAATATAGTAAATGCAGGTAATAATATTTATTTTCTCAAATTAAATTCCAACAGTATTTTTTAGTAGATTTATATATATTATTCTTAGTAAGCCAACTTATTGATTATGAAATTCCTGATCATAAGTAATATTTAATTTATTTATAATTAAACAAATTTACACAGTTCGAACAAATAAAAATGTGTAAATAATGGGTAAATAAGGGTACATAATGGGAGGTTGGTATTTCATTATTTACATATTATTTATTTATTTGACTTGTGTTCTTGTTCATTTTTATATTGGTATTTAGATTATTAAATAAAATTATTGAATTGGAAGTATATTATTTATTACTAGGAACCAGAAACTAACATGTGTTTTTAAAATGTTTGATTATATCTGTAAAAATTAACAATAATTATTTTGTTGATTCGATAAACTTGTAATTTTAGTTAGTTATATAATGTATGTTAATAATATTTTCAAAGTATATTTCTTGAAAAAAATTATTAAAATATTTAGATAGTTTAGCAATTTAAATAATTATTAGATATTTAAATTTTAGTAAGTTTTTTTAAAATCAAAATTTTAAACATTTTTGAAGATATAGTATATTAAAAATTTTATCAGAATGTGGCAACTTAGTAAAGTGAATAACTTGTCAACTTTTCAAGTAGTAGATTGAGTGTTCAAATCTTATTGATGATAAAAATTTGGATAATAACCTATGTAATTTTGTATTATGGTAACTGTTTTTAATAATTAGGTTAAAATACTTGTAATAGTGGTTGTATTAGCATAACTGGCAAATCATAAGGCATTTGTGCAACTGGTTACATAGAGAAATGCAAACTGGCATTAGGCAGTATAAATACTAAATATAGTATAACCTTAATATAATAAACCTCAATAAACTGAAATCATTATTATAATAAATATTTTTTCAAGCTAGAATTCTTGAGTTTAAAATTATCTTGATATAACAAATTTCAAATATAAAATCTTGGTATAATGAATTACAAAGTAATTTATAATTTATATATAAGAAAAATACTTTGATATAACAAATATCTCAGTAAAGCAAAATATTTGCAGCATAATAAAACTTTGTGTAATACTATTATAATTTAAATTTCTTTTATACTGTCTCTAATTTTTTCAATATGAATACAGTTACAAATAAGCAACAAATTAAAAATAAATTTAAATGTACTTAAAAGAAAAAAAGAGTTACTTTAACTAATGACCAATAATATGATTTGTGTCTTCAAAAAAAATAAGAGCTTGGTATTAAAAATTATGATTTTGTAATCAAATTTAAGATTAGTAAATCTTCCTATAATAAAATTTTAGTAAAATTAGTTTATTAGTTATTCATTAATTTAAATTTAAATACAAATAATAAAAGAATCAAAAAACCTATTTTTGTAAATGTTGAGTCAGCTGTTACACTTTGGGTTAAATATATAATAGGAAATATGTAGACCTTAATCAGTTATCTTATCTAAAATAAGACAAAAGAGTTTGCATAATTACTAAACAAATATAAATTTAATGTATTAAATAGTTGGTTATATAATTTTAAGTAAAGACACAATATTTGTGAATACAAGTATTAAGGAAAGACTAATAGTATATCTTGGAACAAATTTCTTAAATTTAGAAATATTATTTAACTATATTAGCTTGATAATATTTTTAATTATAATGAAACTAGTTTATATTATAGAATAGAACCATCTTGTATATTAGCAACAGAACCAATTTTAGAAACTAAAAAGACAAAAAATTATATTACAGTATTGTTAACTATAACTCAGAAAGACTAAAAACATTATTTATTTAAAATATAAAAATCTATATTCAATTTATAATATTTAAAAAAAATTTATCTGTTAATTATTTTTGAAACAAATCTGCATAAATGTAAAAATCTATTTTGAATTATTATATTAAAAATTTGAATTCAAAAATATAATATCAAAAGCATTATATATTATTTTTAATTGATAAAATATCAATTCATGTTCTTAATAATGATATAGTACTAATTAATATAAAAATAAAGATACTGTTTTCACTAGTACAGTATATATTCAATTGATAAATGCCAGAATTATAAACTCTTTTAAAATAAGTACAGTATATAATGTTATATTAATATAAATAAAGTTATAATGAAGTAGTATTTTAAATTTTTAATACTTTTTTTTAATAAGGCCAAATATAGGTATTTTTTTGTTCAAAACTATTTAGATGCATATTAATTTATACAAATAAGTTAAACCACTCTAAATCTGGTTAATATAAAAGAAATAATTGTTTATTGTTTATTAGTATAGAATAAAATTTTAAATAAAATAATTAGAAATTGTTAGCATAAGACTAAAATTCTCTTAGTTTAATTAAATAATAATGACTTATTATTACAAGACTATGATAAATATTTTAATAATTAATTAGAAATTTATTATTTAATTAAATAGTTTTTTATTAATACTAATAAAACTTTATTAGTATCAGAATATATAAGCATTTATAATAAATTATTTACAACTACAATTTTATTTTATTTTTTTTGATATTAAAGTGAAGCCTTGCTTATATCTTTATTAATAATTTAAAATAGTTATATATATATATACTATAGTCAAGACTAATACTTGCAGTTAGGGCTAACCATTAAACTGCTAACTATATAGCTACTACTATTGGTACAAACCAAATAAATTGAAAATTACATGTAAGAATAAAAATTCAGACTATTTATCTGTGACCTAAACCTACTAGAGTAGTCAAAGCTCATCTAGATTTGAATGTTTAATATATAATTTAATGATATGCTATATTTGATTTATAAGATGGACTAAATATTAATTTTGTGAATTGCTTGGCCAATAGAAGAATATATATTTGAGTAAAAATGCAATTAATTAGGAAGTCCACAAAGGTATGAGTAAGTGTAATCTCTTCAAGAGTATGTATATTTTCTAGTTGGATTGAATATTCTTGAAGATTGGTTAATTGGTTGAGATTAGGGTTTGTTTTGTTAATTATTCTAATTAGAGAAGTGAATACAATATGTTTTCCATAGTTGCTCATATAATTGTTCATTAATATTGAGAAGAATATCAATAATAACTTAAGAGACTATTTTGTATAAAATGGCAGAGTTTTGAATTGTTGATATAAGAAACTTTGGGATAAGTCCTTTAAGAGTAAGGTTGGAATAATAAGTATTAAGTAACATGTATAGAAAGTTAAGAACTAGATAATGAAGAATTTTGTTAATTAAGTTATGTTTATGATAGGTGTCAAGATCAGGCAAGTTATTAGAAATAATTTGGTTAGTGAAGGTTTAGATAATTTGATTGAGTAAAGATGAATTAGTACAAGTGTGCCAATAGGAATAGGAATTAGGTAGGTTACAAAAGAAGCAAGTAGTGTCTGAATATTGGCTTGAATAAATAGTATGCTATAATGAATATATTGGCAACTTATTAAGAATGATTTTTGTTTTAAAAGATTTTAGTTAATTAAGTCTAAAGTTAATAATATTGTATGAGGGTTTTTAATTGTGATTGAAGTAGAGCCAAGTAGATCTCCAATCAATGTCTTGGTTAAAGTATAATTACTTGTTATTTCATTTTTGTAATGCCAATATAACTAAGATGTGAGCTTTACAAATTTGTTTAATGAAGTACCTTGTAGGAAGTTCTATATAATAATGTTCCAATATAGAATATAATAAAGGTTGCAAAAATTTGTGAAGTTAAATAAAAGAAATAGTGATAATAGGTGTTGTTTAGTAAGAGAGTCTGCTTGTTCATTGAGATAGTTATCTAAATAAGCCTATACTTAGTAAAAAATAATTTGTATTTATATGATTTGATAATGTTTAAAAGAGTATGCCAAATTGGCTATAAATTAAATTTAAATAACTTGTTAGAATGGATTGACTTAAGTTGAATATTATTAAATTTAGAAATTACTGATTAAGAGTCTGTAAAGATATTAATAATACAGTTTTGAGGAGTAGTTAAGATTGTGATAATAATTGAGAAGAGTTTAGCTTTGTAAGATGAAGACCAGAATTTAATTTTAGTAGAAAAGGAATTAATAATTTGATTATTATTATTGACTTGGATCTAACCAATACCCATTGTGCATTGGTCAGTACTAATGTTAATTATAAATTCATTAGTATAAAAAGATAGTTGCTAGTAAGAGAGGTTGTAATGTAAAATACTGTAGATATAAGTTTGTTATTAAATTTGCTTGGAGTAAAGATTTCAAAAGTGATAGAGTTGATAATAGGAATGTTAGATAAAGTAGGAATGTGGATTGGATGTTTAACAGCTGTAAAGCAGATAAGATTCAAGTAATTGGCATTGAGGTTAAGTTGGTGCTTTGAGTTAGTTTTGTTAAGGTATTCTGCAGAAATAATTACAGAAACTTCAATAGTACAAATTTGGTTTTTTATGAGAATTAAGATAGCATCTTGTATATTGTTTGTAGCTAATAGAAGATAAAGGGTAAAATTTTATATAGTTTAAGTCTATATTAGAAGTCCAATAAGTAATAGAGTAGTAGCTAAAAGATGAAAAATATTTTTGGATTTTTCTGATAATAATTTCATTATTGTAGTATGAGAGCAACCAAAGTTTAGATTTAGTAAGTTTTTTAAATGTATTAATAATATGATAAGCATAAGGGTTATAGTCTGAAGATTGATAATGTGATAAAAATATTTCAATAATAAAAGTGTGTTAAAATTATATTTTCTAAATAAGAGAACCAAAAAGGTTTTCTGCCTTTAAATAAGTATAATAATCTTGGTAAAAGATGTTTTCAGTCAAGTAAAGTGCTATTATCTATAGTACAAAGTTGTTCAAGATACATAATATTTAATTGTCTAAGTTATTTTTTAAAGGTTAAATATTTTGAATAC